AGTAGCTCTTACAGAAGTACTTAGACAGGCAGGTAGATATATAGATGGAATAATGGTGATATGTTCAAGAGGACATTCCCTTAGCTATGCTCCGACTTAATGAAAACGTTTCGTTCGAAAAACTTAGTTGTTTGGAAACTGAATTCATACTGGCGGCGTCTCGATGTCAACAGGTGTGTATCAGTATCCTTAGAAGTTTGGAAAAGTTGTAAGGCCCCTAACTGTATGCGGTAAATATTTGATAGCAACGTATCTAATTGATCCATGCATATACCCCGCATCCGAGTGGCTCAGCTTTAAGTCTGAGGGCTTATAACGCCAAAATTCTGGTTTTTGTACTCGCGGTGTGCATAGCATAGATAATCCCTTGCGCAACGTTGTGTTTGATAACAAACAATCAAACTATTCATGTACTTAAGAGGAACTTTTTTACAAGCGAATTAATTTCTAACTAATAAATACACCTTTCTTCGTCAGCTTAATAGGACTGGTTATCAACTTAAGAACCAAGAGAAAAGATAAATATTATTCATGCAAAAGATTTTGAATTTATAGCCTGTGTATTGCAATTTTTTTAAGCACAATAATTTCTATGGTACAATTTTTTTTTATATGACACAAAACTGGTTCTTGGGGTACAATTCATTATAATAGCAAATAAGGGTACTTAAGATATTTATTAATAATTGCACAACACAGAAAGTTCATTGTAGATACAGGAAAACAACTATGGTAGAGTGAAAAGGGAATTTTATTTATGCATACATATTTTTGTCACCTAGCTCTCTTTCATTAGATGGTATATAATGAATTAAGCTAAATATCCCTCTTAGCGGTTCCATTAATTCAAAAATATCACTAACAGGACCGCGTTTTGACTATCTCTCATCCTCGACCATTTATTGGAATCATACATGTGATCTGTTACTTATTATAACAGACTATAAGTTATTTTAACTTTGACATTTTAATTAGTTTTCTTTGAATATCAGCTACAGTATTCATTAGAGAATGAAGGATGAAAAATGCATTTTCTATATATATATATATATATATATACACACACACTAAAAACGTTATTTGAATTAAAAATAGAAATATACTTTTTCTAGTATAATAGATCCACAACAAAATTGGTATTAGTTACATGGTGAAGATCAAAGTATTAACTATGAACATTTCAACAAATTTAAAGGCATCTAAAGTTTGAAAACATATTCCACTATTAATGTATATACTCTATGCTTATAAGTGTGTTATTGTGTTTCCACAACGAATATTTTTAAACGAAAGTTACTTGTAATGTTTTTTCTTTTTTTATTGGTCCACTTATTTTACTAACTTACAATACTAAAGTCTGGGGTTCGATTTTCCACGGTGAATAGAACGCAGATAGCCCATTGTATAGGTTTGCGCTAAAACAACGACATAACTATTTCTCTATTTTTGTATTGTCAGCAAAACCATAAATTATCTTGACGTTAAAATAACACCCTTGAAGAAAAATATTGTTTTATAATTGAAAAATAAAACAATGTATATTTAGTTTTATGGAGAAGGAAATCTTTCTTAACACAACTTTCTTAAATAATGAATCTAAAATACAAACGAACGATTATACAAAGTATTAACGTCTAATTAAGTTGAAAGTGTGACTGAAGCACAATAGCTTGTTGTTCTTGAAATATATTTCAGATTACAGCTGAAGACAAAGACATAAAGTCATTTTTAGTCCTTGAGACATGTGAATGTACAAGAGGAAAATTCCCCATTTTAGGCACGTGCTCATTGACTCCACTTCTACTTTTTGTTGTTTATGTTATTGTACAAACAAAACCTGGAACATATTTTCACCGCTTTGTGTGCCATAGATAGCAAAGCTGGTATTCTATTTGAAGAAATACGTAGCCAGTTATTAATGTCGAACTTTTTTTTTTTTTACCAAGAGTATATATATGTGATTGGAGAGTACATATCCGTCAGTTACCTTACTCCACACACGGTGATGTTTAAGGTTTTGATACAAAAACTCAACATTCATGGAATATCAACCATATACTCAGCACGGCTGTGAATTTATTTGGTTATACTGTTTATTGTTTATTTGTAATTAAGCACAAAGTTACACAATAGGCTATCTGTGCTCTGCCCACCACAGGTATCGAAACCCGGATTCTAGCGTTGTAAGTCCACAGATATACCGTTGTGCCACTGGGTGTCTATTTGGTTATACACATTGTTAACTTTCAAGGTACACTAAACCAAATCTGACGTTAAACTGTACTAAAAGGTTACTGTAGATAAGTTTTTAGGTTTTTGGAAAGCTGTTAGAATCTCTTGAACTATTCATCATCATGAATAAATGTACTTAATAATCAAATAATTTTAATTTCTGTTAACATATAAAAATGCATGTACATAATAATCAGAGAATTTTAACTTGTGTTAACATATAAAAATGCATGTACATAATAATCAGAGAATTTTAACTTGTGTTAACATCAGACATACATGTTCATAATGATAATAGAATTAAACTTGTCTTAAGATGAGAATTTTAACTTATATTAACATTAGAAATACATGTTCATAATGATAATAGAATTAAACTGGTCTTAAGATGAGAATTTTAACTTATATTAACATCAGAACTACATATACATAATGATCATAGAATTTTAACTTGTGCTTATTAAATATTTGAAGATATCCTTTGTTTCCTTTGTAATCAAGCACATTATCTGATTCTGAGATTGTCTGTTTGTTCGTTTTTTGAAACACTTAAATTAAATCATAATTAGTTTGCAGAATAATTGTTCTTCTGAAGGTCATTGAAAATATGGAGAACATTCAATTATTATATAATTTTTTCTGGTATATTCGTCATCGTATTTACATCAATGACTTTACAATCTCTTACCTTGAGAATAATTATGTGTTTTCATATCAATAATTCCCTTTCAAAGCTTTTATATGCAATAGTTTGGTTTGTTTTGAATTTCGCGAAAGCTACACGGGGGCTTTCTGCGCTAGCCGTCCCTAATCTAGCAGTGTAAGACTAGAGGGAAGGCAGCTAGTCATCATCATCATCCACCACCAACTCTTGGGCTACTTTTTCACCAACGAATAGTGGGATTGAGCGTCACATTATAACGCCACCATAGCTGAAAGGGCGAGCATGTTTGGTTGGATGGGATTCGAACCCGCGACCCTCAGATTGCGAGTCGAGCGCCCTAACCACCTGGCTATTCCGGGCCCTGGGATTGTCATTAAAAGGCGTAAAGCAGTCAGTTCAAATCTCAGTTTTAATTAGAAACAGACATTTATAAGCTGGTTTTGTTTGTATTGTTTCAAAGGACATGGCAGCCCATCAAATTTATGTTAAGTAACCAGTAAGATTATGTGACAGAACAAATATTAACAACATATTTATTTAATGTAGATATTATTGTCCCATATATTAATATATTTATCATCTCTCTTTATTCTTATAAGTCTTGTAGTACACAGGCAAAGTGATTGGAATATTTTGTCTTGGCTGAGGTAGTTTTGATATAAACGAGGAAAACTTATCCCACCTCCTGTCGATTTGCTTTTCGGGTCATTTGCGTATACACATCACTTTGTATGTGTGTTTGTATACATAATCATTTCTGATTACAGTAAAAATAACAAACCTCACATTTTGAATAACGGTGAACCTTGTTGACCTCTGGGTCACGATTGAAGACAAGATTCTTCCCTGAATAAGGGTTAAAGAGGCACCGTGAAGTAGGTGGAGTTTGGAATGTGTCGCATTTGTCTAGCTAGTGTACTGATAATTAGGACAGGATGAAAAAATTTGAATTGGAGAGATTTCTGGCTTGATTAGCTTAAAAAGGACTGTCAATATTGATGCAAGTTTCTCTGTTTTTGAATATTATAAGGGTTGGATTTTTGAAGTTCAGTGTGTAGCAATGCTGATAATAACCCAATTAATGTTATATTTTGTTGTGTAGAAGGTGTTCTTTGTTAAAATAATGCTAAATAAAATACTTCAACAGTAAATTTAGACTGGAACCGAATAATTGTAAGCTGATATGTAGGAAAAATGAGACAGGTTGTTATGCTCTAGGTGGATGAGAACAGCTGAGAATGACTACCAAGGTTTGGCGAAATCTCACACAGGTTGACGAAATAACTACCCTGGAAATGCTAGTTTCCTGCGCTAGAAACGAAATATACACAAAGAACCCGGATACAGTATAAAGTATAATAACACAAGCATAGCAAGAAAAATTTATGACATGTGACAGGAGATCTTCCCTTCCCCTCAGGGAGCATTTTTGTGACCAGAACTGGCTGTCAAAGCACGAAGATAATTTCAGAGCTTCTTTTTTTTTTTCCTTCTTGTACAGTTTTCATTGCTTAGCCATCCGTAGCTACTCAATAACAAACACAAATGTATAATTCTATGTGGAAAATATAGAAGTAGTTTTTTTTTTAAATTACTGCTCCTACTCCCATGTCAAACCACCTGACAAAAAATATTGACTGCATCAACCACGCCTTCGTGTGTTTGAAGTGTTCGGCACTACGTACTTTAAATGTGCATTTGTAGCAATAATCTATAGATCTTGAACATAACTATTTATTGAAATACATAAATAATAGTTGAATGTAAATGTCTGATTTAGAACATAGATTTTTTTTTTTCGTACCATGAACTAATTAGCTTTTTGGGTGAAGTTATAAGGAGGATTTATGTTTTTCATCCTGTTACATGTTTTAAACGGGATTTGTCAACCAAATAATCCTATTTAAGATTTCAAAAAATTAAATTTAAACATAAAAAAACTATAATTTATTTTCTTTTAAGTCTGAAATAAAGCAATAATATTGTTATAACATCCTTTATTTAATGGCACCAATCATATAAAAATATACACTTCTTCAACTCCATTTCTTTATGTAAGCTTATATGCTTTGAGGGTTCAAATGATTTTATCTTTTCTGTGTAGAGTACATTGGCCTGATGAAAGAAGGCTGTTGCAGCATAATCTTTGCCCGATTTTACACGTCTCAGAGCGTAAATAACTGGTGTCATCTGGTTTGAGTCCACTTTTCTTTCAATAAGAACCTCGATATTTTGTGTGACCATGCACGATCCTGAAGTATACGTTGAAGAATTTGTGGTAGGTAGAAGAAATAATGCAGAAAACAACGGTTGGACTTAAGAAATAGGCACATTCTGAAAGAGAAAAATTATAACGAAAACTGTGTCAGTTCGATGATATAGATTAAGGAATTATTTACTAAGAAATGTGAATGTCTAGTTTGACCGGAAAAGTGAAAAGATCGAAAATGTCTTATTTAGATTGTGATGCACATGCATTTGTTGCTTTATTATTCAAATAAACTTTTTTATCTTATAAATATTCAGAATTACACGTCTCCTTTAAAACAAAAACGTTAAAAATAACTATTGGTGATGTTCTATTTCGCAAGATTGTCTCCACACAGATACAAGACCGAGTTCGTTTCTCATATTTTTGCAACATTTTATGCATACTAAATTTCAGTACATAAAGCAATCATATTTTTCATTTTTGTAATTAAAATTTCACACTTAACGAAGTGAGTTTTATAAAGTTAACGTTCAAGAAAGTTAATAATTTAAGGAAAATAGGAAGGTCTAATTTACTTTGAGGATTTTTCGACATAGAAACAAAATCAGTTTTGACCTACGTAAAGTTATAAACACTCTTGAACGAAGTGGGCCACATGTTGTATATCTAAGAGTTTTGGGTTCGGCATGGCCAGGTGGTTAGGGCACTCGACTCGCAATCTGTGGGTCGCGGGTTCGAATCCCCGTCACACCAAACATGCTCGTCCTTTCAGCCGTGGGGACGTTACAATGTTACAGCCAATCCCACTATTCGTTGGTAAAAGAGTAGCCCAAGAGTTGGCGGTGGGTGGTGATGACTAGCTGCCTTCCCTCTAGTCTTACACTGCTAAATTAGGGACGGCTAGCGCAGATAGTCCTCGTGTAGCTTTGCGCGAAATTCAACACAAACTAAGAGTTTTGAGATTCAATAACCATTCCATTTAAAATCAAGATTACTTTTAAAAGTTATAGATACAAATATGCAACTTAATGTAAAGCGCAAACAGAATTTAAAACTTGAATAATATAGAAATAAATAAATGTCTAAAGAATTTTCAAACGAAAAGTGGGTTTTTCTATCCATCAGCTGAATATAAGTAGCGGCTGACGAATTATCATACTAATACTTTCATGATGTTAGAAAAACAAGTAGGTTCAAGAAGTCTTGATAGAAATGAATAAAACCCCTATAATCCGACCGCTTTTGAAAGGTGGACTTTTCTTCTTCGGGGGGCAAACTGGGAATCTAATACTTTGATATCCATCCATTTCTAGATATTTTGCTTGATGATGCCACATCCTTTACTCTTCGTCCTGAAATGGATACAATTAAGAAGTTCTGATAGATAGCGCTTACCTATCTTGCCCTAAAGATTCACCTTTCACCCAACGAGTTTTCACTCCTTTTTATTTGTTCTCTCCGGATTTTTAAAGTAATGTCATGTAATTTATTTCGTATGACCACAACTGGGTTTTACAGATTTCCGTCATGAAGCTTAAGGAATAAACGTATTGTACTTAATTAATGTTAAGAAGTGATGTCTGGTATTCTATATAATCAACGTCATTATTGATCAGCACGATTATTGGTTGTTGTCTGATAACGTTAATTAATAAGACGTAAAATTATCCTTCTTCCTGAATACCTTTGTATTCTCATGTATGTTAAAATTTCGTAACTGTATCTAAGTGATAGAAAACAAATTTTCTTGTCAGTGAAATGGTCTATTTCACAGTGTGTCCGAGGAAACATTTTTAACATATTAATTAGTTCAAATGAACTTTAAATTGAGTCTACTTTTTTGTAACTGAATGAGAAAGATAATATAATTTTTACGTGGTTTGATAAATAAAAGATATGGCTATACTAGCTTACACGAAAACTTTGATGGTAGATAAGATACCCAATATCAAACATAATTTCAAAGCATACAATGTATTATTTATATCAAAACCCTTAATTAAACCCGATGATAAATGACCAAAAGAAAAGAATTTCATAACTTTTCAAGTAAGAGTCGAGAAAAAAAGAGAACAAAAAGAGATTAGAATGATAAGAAATATATCATAGCAAAGCCATTATCGTTTCTTTTCACACGCCAGTAATAATTAACCAGAAACGTGAATATAGAGATTAGTTAACCAGATAGCATGCAGGTAAGATACATCATGTGTGAAAGTTAGTAAAATGATACCGAATAATGGAATTATAGCTCAGCAATAGCAAAAAAGTAAAGTACATCATGTGTGAAAGTTAGTAAAATGATATTAAAGAATGGTATTATAGCTCAGCATATAATGTTTATTTCAGAATTTTTGCTCATAGGTACACAAATGAACATCTGCGCATAGCCGTACTTAATTTTGAAGTGAAAGAATAAGAAAAAAAAAGGCTACTCTTGTCTGACTAGACAGTGGAACTGGACCATTACTCTTACACAGCGCTTACGGCTTCGACGTGCGGAGCGACTTTTTGCAGCAACGAGCCGCCAACACTCGGATTCGCAGTCAGATCACGCTAGCCACAAAGACACGCCCGGCCCAACAAAAAACGAAATACATTGCATGCTAAGTTCTCCTACTACAAACAATGCATTTGAACAGTCAAAAGCTTTATGACGGTAGTATAAGCTTAGAATGTGTGAATTCATTAGAGCACATGTCTAGTTAGTTTGTCTACTCACAAATAAATTCTTTGAAAAGTCTTTCTACCATGAGAATAAGACTGTATACGGTATTCAACAGATCCATTTAGAGTCAAACTATATCATGATACTTCAAAATTATACGCAATCCTGAAACAGCTGAATGTTATTCAACTTCGTGTGCTTCGAGGAAATGACCTTAGCAGCAGTACCACTACGAGGAGAAGGCTTTCAGCTTTACGTGATTTGTTATTTTATTTTTTGTTGTTGCTTTTTTTATTGGCTTTGCACGAGGCTTTCAAAAATGTCGTAAGAAGGATCTTTTAGAAAACTCTGGAAAGACATTAGAGTCACTAGACTTACTTCTGAATTAACAGTAAGTCATTAAACTACGGTTCATATAATGTCCTTTACATATCCAGAGTCAAGGACTTCTCACAGGTACAAAGTTTAAATCAGTTCATTGTTTAGGCCTAACATATTAGAAAGTTAGAACAAGTTTTCACTACGCTTTGGTCCCCGAGTTGCACAGCGGTATGTCTGCGGTCTTACAACGCTAGAATCCGGGTTTCGATACCCGTGATGGGCAGAGCACCGATAGCCATTTGTGTAGCTTTGTGCTTAATTACAAACAACAATAAAACACTAAGCTTTGAAAATATTATGAGGAATTTTAATTTTTCCTAGTTATTTCTGTTATATTTATTCCTATTTTGTTTCGTTTTATATTTGAATCGGCAACTTAAAAAAAAAAGTTGATGTGATAATATCATCGTGAACTGGCCTATTTCTACTTTCATACAACATCATTAGTTATAGTTAGGCTTTAAAAAAATAAGATACGCTCGAAGATCCTTTGTAGATTATATATTACAGAGCACCTAGCGAGGAGTAAGGATATTATATACACCACGCTTCTTATAATTACATATAGTAATGGAGAAATGTTTCAAGGCGCATTGCACTTGAAGAACCACTTTCTTACTGCACCATTGTTGCCAGCCATGTGCAAAAAAAAAAAAAGAACCGTTTAACAAATCCCCTTCTTTCAGACTATAAGTACACTTGAAATTTCGAAGGAGCTGGTAAGTGACTTTCTTATTTTTGCTGCTGTCTTAAGAAGTAGTATGAATAACTGAAACTTCAAGTACACGTTACGATTCGTTCAAGCAGTGTTGTTTTTCTGTCATTTGTTGTCA